GGGTCATTCCTGGTGGAGGGAGGAAGGCTCAAGTATGCTTAGGAGTCAGGTTACCATAGGAGCAATGCCAAATGAAAACTTTGAGCAAGTTTAAGAGCTTTTTTTTTTTTTTTTTTTTTTTTGCTCTTAGTGTGTCCTCACACTCTATTGGGGTGGTGCCAGTGACCAGTTTATACCACCAAAGTATGTGATGGTCTATCAGCAATCAGGAGACATCTGTTCTTTCCTGTTGAAGTCCACTGTGCAAGTAGAGGACAATGGGAGCCACACTTGACCCTCACTCTTTGTCTGACCAGCACTTCCTATCAATTATTTCTGTACATTTCACATGAATAAGTTTCCTTTCCTTCCTCTCCCCTATTACTATTTGTATTAGTTTTCTCCACAGGAAAAAAAAATCAGGATATATATGTATTTATTCCATAGTTGTATATATATATATATATACTATCTATCTATATATGTGTGGTGTGTGTGTGTGTGTGTGTGTATATATATATATATATATATATATATATATATATATATATATATATATATATATTTAATAGGAAATGACTATTATGGAGGCTGGGAAGTCCTACCATCTGTCACTTCCAAACTGAAGAACCATGGAAAAAAACAGAAATAAACAGTGGTATAATTCAGTCTGAGTTTGCAAGCTTGAAAACCAGGGGAATTGATGGCATAAATTCTAGTCTGAGAGCAGGGGAAGTTGAAATGATAATGTCCCAACTCAAGGGGGAAGCAAAAAACAAAATAAAAAATGAATCTTTTATTTCTCTACCTTTAGTTGCAGGCTCTCAGTAGAGAGTAATTTTTGGCACATATGAGAAAGAAACATAAGTTACTAAGAAATGTCATCTTGGAAATTAAGAGAGGCTCCTACTTAGGATACCTAGAGACCTGAGACGTTTGTCATCCCCGGGAGTCCTCATTATAGTCTAGACCAGCATCTTCAGTCAGATGCTGAAGACCCTCATTCAACCAGAACCTGGTGAATGTTGTCAAGAAAGAAACATCATACACTAAAGACTTAGTTCTTCCAATTTAGAGTAACTTTCTTTTGGATAGAAAACCCCTGTAGGTCTTATAAAAGATGGAGAGGAAAAAAGATCCATGCCAGTTTATTGAATTCTTCTTAATCTCTTCCATGAGGCCAGCACTAGTGACTTTACCTTGGAGATTCAAGCACAAGGTACCTTTCCTTTCCATGTCACACTTCATACCAATTACAGCTGTAGTGTACATTTAATAACTATAGAACGAAAAAAGATAAGAGTTTTGCATGTGACATCTAAATTCCTATGCTTAGCATATTGTTTTACAATGCTTAAAAAAAATCTTAAATGGATTTTGAAATCTTGAATGATTTAAGTGAATGTTGGGATGAAGGGACTCCAAGAAATGGAATTCCCTTCTTGGGAATGAAAGGAATGAAATAGATGAAAGAGGTATATCAGTTAAAATGCAGTCTGCTGACCATTTGCCATGTCTGTTTTGACACAATTCTAAAGCAAATTGTTTTCTTTCATGGCACTTCTTAATGATTGGTGGATATTCTCAAATGTTACCTTGAGAAAGATTCTGTTGTCAGAAATGGCACTATTGATAATTATCAAATAGTCAAAGTTGATTTCAAAAGTAGCACTTCTACAGGTAGCTAACTAACACTTTCTTCTTTCTCCCCACTGAAGTGGATAGTGCTGATTTTTGATACTTCTCAGTACTGTGTGGCACTTTTCATGCCCTGGCATCAAGGGCAATGAAATGGGCTTATAAGCAGAATTGTCATGCAGTAGCCCTGTGATGGGAAGCTGAGCTAGAAACACATTCAACGGGTCAGATTTGGGGTAGAGGGAATTTCCCATTCACTCATACCTCCTTGCCCTTGGTTTTGCCAATGGAGAACAGAACAAGGGCACACTCTTAAATCAAAAGACAGCTTCACCAGCTGCATGGGAACAGAGGAAAGTATAAAAGGAACTGAGGGAAGGTAGACAGGAGAGTTAACTACAGGGAGCCAGGAAAACCAGTCAAAGACAGAGAAAATACCCAGTGGATTTCAAAGTTTTCCTTTACCTTGTTGAGCAAATTGTTGATTACTACTCATGGCTTTATCTATGGCAGTAAGAATTCCTGAAAGCAGTTATTTGAAATTCTTGTTCCAAGGGTCTAATCCAGGGAGACTTTATATTTGGAGCTAACCCTGCCCTATAGTTCTCAAGCAGTTGAGGCCATTAAAAATAGGATGGAGGGAGATAGGAAAGGGAGCTGTCAGGTCCTTATCAGTGAACTGATCAAATAATGAAAGTGTCTCAGTTCTTCCAGTTTTCTACTGTCCTGACACCAGCCTTCCATGGCTTTCTTGATGAAGACACTCAGAATAAGACTTGAATTGGGTTGAACTTAAAGTTTTAAATCAATAACTTCAAGTGGAGATTTTAACAACTTCAATGATCTTTGCCTTCATTTTCTTTACAATTTCCTACGCATTATTCTTTTTACACAGATTCAAATTTGGAATACAGTTGTATTCTGGCAACTTTGTTACAGGAGGTAATACTGACCTCAGGGAAAGAAATAGGAAAGAAAAGTTACAACTATCCCTTACCTTCTCTGTAAATTGTTCATGATTTTGGCTTTTAAAGATAACCTTGCCAAAATTAGTCCCTCATCAGTGGGAAAATGTTTTCATTCTTTAAAGGAAATTTACCACAAATCCAAAAATGCAAATGAAATAGCAATGAGATAACACTCAGAAGTCTCTGGTTCCATGGTGGCATCAAGAGCACAGAAGGATGCACCATGATGATGGCTAGATGCGAAGTCTTCACAGTTTAAAAAATACATGCTTCCCTCCCATTGTCTAACAAGACAGAGGGATTTTGTTAAGTTACTTATTGTCTCTAATCCTAGTTTGTGTGTCATTTATTTATTTAGTTTTTTTTATGTGTGTGTTTATTTATTTATTTTTGCGGTGCTAGGGATTGAACCAACGTGTACTCTATCACTGAGCTAGATCCCCACCATTTTTTTTTTCTTTTATTTTGAGATAGGGTATGGCTAAGTTGACCAGGCTTATCTCAACCTTGCAATCCTCCTGCCTCAACCTACCAAATAGCTGGGATTTTCTGTATTCTTTAAATCAATACTATAATAGATGATTACATCACTGTGCAGAATTCACTGGCTATATTTGGAAACTGTAAGCCAGCTATTTGACATGGTGGTGCAGTCTAATGTGTGGGCATTTTTTTTTGATGGGTACCCAAAGTATTATCCTTTGACTCATTAATTCACTTATGGGAATCTAATGTAAAGAGAAGAAAACATATAAAGAACTACAGCAAATGATTCATGTAAGAATATATTCATAGCAGTGTTATTGATGATTGGCTTCTTAAAAATGTACTTGTGTGTGAAAAAAGTTTGTTTTGGGATGAGTATTTATTTTCAGGCATACAAGTGTATCTTAAACAAATATGGTTTAGACCTAGGGATGCTTTTCTGGGAAAGAAGTTATTGGATTTGATCCATTAACTTGCTGAAAGATTGACAGCTGTTCTAGCTAATTCTGCGCTTTGGCCACCTCAGTGGAAATTAAATTCAGGCAGTAATTCAAGTTAGGGTGTTCCTCTGGAGAATCTCTGTCTCTCTCTCTCTCTCTCTCTCTCTCTCTCTCTCTCTCTCTCTTTTGCATTAAGTGGTGCTGGCTATGGGAGCAGGCTAGAAAAGGTCAAATCAGAGCATCTTGCAAAGGGAACTGCTCAGTGGCCTTGAAAAGAAACATTTACAAGGAAGGTGATGTGTATATGGGTACTTCCATGATTTTACCTGATGTAGCTCATGCTATCCTTGTGCAGATTAGTGTTTGGAGGCTAAAGGAGAGAAATGGCAGGGTTGAAAAGTAGGATGTGGTCAGTTCTGAAGTTTGTGATATAAATTCCAAATGGCTCTCATAACACTTATTCACAATATAAGGTGTTATGCGAGCTTTCTTCTTAACCTATCTATTAGAAGTCACTACAGCCTATATTGCTCTGTTGAGCACACAGATTTGTGTTTTTAATTTCTTACAACTTTATAATGTAGAAACAGTATAGTCATTCTCATATAAACTTGGAGACACTGCCCCCTTATTATACAGAGAATAATCTTATTCTTTCTGGTTCTGTTCTATATACAATATTCATTCACTTGCTATCTTATGCTATTGCAAATACTATTAGTAAATTAAAAATATGACCAATGTCATCTAAGTTGGAGTAAAAAGTTTGGGCAAGCACAGAAAGGCTATTAAACTCTGCCTTAATTCTCCTTTCAGCCTCACCTCCTTTAAGCTGTCTGGAACCTCCTGCCATACTCACTACTGAGAAATGCCAAGTTCTCTGTAATTTCCAGGGTGTCATTTTGCCAACTTTTCCAAGCTTTTGCCCACACTGTGCTTCTTGCAGAAAATGTCAACCAGGCCTCACTCATTCCTCTCTTTTCCTACCTCCTTTGATGCAAGCATTCCTTCTCTGTGATAGCTTTTCTGGTCTAGTTATTTCTTCACCAGGATCCCTTGGGAGCTGGTATCTATATCTCTTCAAGCACAACCCACATTTTAAACAAAGTTTTTTCCACGTGTATCTCTTTAAAAGCCATCCCAGAGCTTGGCACGTAGCTGGCTTGCCATATGGATTTATTCCATGAGTGAAAGTAATTATTTTTATATCTTTGGTTCCCTAGAAAATGTTGATGTTTCCGTCCCCTTATCTTCCTGGAGACTCAGAAGGCCCTCTTTGCAGATAGCACTGTGATCCTTAAAACAGGAGCAGAAAACAATCTTGCGAGTATATCTGAGCAAAGCTGACATATTTTTTTCCTTTAAGATCTTGCAGCTGAATGTGGAATGATCCTGAAATTAAGGTCAGCTCCAGGTGGTTGTTTATATCAGCTGTCAGATTGCGGAATAAAAAATGGCTTTTATATGTTTGATTTTTATTGTTTTCCAGGGCAATGTCACTTTTTCCTGCTCCGAACCACAAATTGTTCCCATCACATTTGTCAACTCCAGCAGCAGTTATTTGCTGCTGCCCGGCACCCCCCAAATTGATGGGCTCTCAGTGAGTTTCCAGTTTCGAACATGGAACAAGGATGGTCTGCTTCTGTCCACAGAGATGTCTGAAGGCTCGGGGACCCTGCTGCTCAGCCTGGAGGCCGGAATCCTGAGACTGGTGATTCAGAAAATGACAGAACACGTAGCTGAAATCTTTACAGGTACTGTCTGATGATATCCTTCTAGCAGAATTTCTTCTCCTCCTTCTTTTTTCTTTTTTTGGATGGTACCTTGTTCAGCCAGTAAGTCATGAGGGATCAACTTAGAAGTTCTTCATCACTTGAGCATTGGAAAAAAAAAATACTTCAGAAGACTGTGAATGGTCATTACATAATAGAATATATCTCACTTAGCAATGTTGAGAATCTTCTTAACAAATTTCCTTTGCATCCATACTAAGGCAATTCCTATCATGAGAAGGGGCCTTATTCCATAGTGTCATTAAAGCTAAGAGAGAATTTGTGCAGTCAGAGGCATTTTATAAAATTTATTAGATTTCCAGTAATGGGAGTGAGTTAATCACTTAGAATTATAATATTTTTTATGTTCAGAGTTATAAAAGTTAAATCTCCATCCTCTTTATTTGGAGAAGAAAAATGTGAGCTGGCACTGGGCTGTTTTTCTCTAATCGGTGAAATGTTTGAGTACAGAGACTTGTAGGCCTCAGGTCAAAAATGCAGTTTTAATATAGTACAGGCTCTGGCGGCTCTTGGCTCTAAAGAATCCAGGTGCAGCCTGTATTATTAAGCACATGTCAGTCCATTAACATGCATTTATGACTGAGAAAGAGGCTGGTAAGAACTGCCACCTTATCCAACTACAAAAAGGGAAAAATCATCAGTTATTTTAGACCTGTCTTTCAAATACTGAAATAAGTGAAAGGAAATTTCAAAATGTGCTGTTTGAGTTCCTGACATCTGTCTCAGAAAACTCTTGCATAATTCTGTCCCTACGGAGAACTTCCTGCATTTTGGAAATTTTGCATTGAATTTCTTAATTTGTCTTTCAAATGGCTCAAGAGTTTGTGTTTTCTGGCATTCGCCTACTTGGGAAGCAGGGAGACAGTCAAGAAAAAGAAAAAATATATATATTTCTGAAGGAATTTCTTTTGAAAGTATTTGAGATCTTATTGGCTTTATGATATGAAAATCCCACATAAGCAGTGAAAATATGATGGCTTATTGTCCAATAGTTTGTGAAGACCAACAGGGCTACACTTGATATATGGTTGTCATGTAAAATGTAATACAGACCCATATTTTATTATGAAATCTAATATTAAAAGCTTTACTTTTGACTAGGTCTGATGTTTCTAACATCCTGGATCTGTTGGAAGTTCATTTCTATGGGTAGGTCAGCACATGGCTATCTGAAACCTTCACTTTGAGCTATGTACAGTGTGCATGCTTTGGAGAAGCAGTATATTTGGGTTTCTTGTATTGTGGATGATAAGGAGACTTGCAAAATAAATATATCCATACATCTTTAAAATGGAAGGCATCAGAATTTAGTTGTTTTAGGTGATGGTGCTTGGTACGATGAAAAATTCCCTTCTTTGTATTTTTCTTCATTTTCTATTTTTGTTGTCTCCTTTCTTGAAAGTCTTACATATGTGTTTAGCAAGAAGGTCAAGGACCTCATTTCATTGTTAAGTGATGTGAGGATAGAACCAACATTCATTGCAGGCTTCCTGCTGGTCAGGTACATATCCTATAGGACTGTGACATGGGAGTCCATCAGAGGGGGACGTAATGAAACTGACAGGCTCATAGTTATTTGACCAACACACATATAATAAAACAGAAACAGAAGGTAAGTTAAAGGGATGGCGATAACTGATAACCTAAGGTCTTTCCTTTGGATTTCTATTACATGGTTTTCCTCTGTATCCTGTTGCTATATACATTCATTGTTTATATTGTTTGTTGCTTAAATAACTCATAAAAGAGACCCTGCTTTAGATGAAGGGTCTGCAGACAAATATGCAGTAGTCTACAAAGAAGAATGGGCTATTTAGGATCCATCATTGTTTCTTTCACAAGCATTTTTCTTGAGTTAAGTGGGATTCACATAACATGGGTAAGCCGTTGTCTTTATAGACTTCTAGTATACTTTAAGTAAGTTTTTGGTGTAATACAAAACAAATTATACATATCTAAGTACCAGTAAGCACAAATATTCACTGAGTATTATATATTTTACATGTTTTTTTAGATCTGTTTTAGCTCTTAATATGTATTCTGCAGTAGGATTATCATCTGAAATGAGAACTAAGGCACTAGAGGCTGAAGTCTCTCTCAAAGGTTTATCTGCTTCCAAGGACTTTGCCCTGTATTCTACAGCATTTCCAATGCTAAACACCCCAGTGCTCCTTGGCCCATATGGAAATTCAGACACTGCATGGAAATAGATGATATCTTCAAGGAACTTGAACCACTGTGACTCTAGCTCTTAAGAATCAGAAAATTTGTTTAGGCAAGTCTTAAATGAATGAAATATTTCAGCTTCCTGCTTTACACATTTTGACCTTCCTGTTCTTTGCTGCTCATCATGAAATGCCATGTACAGTGGTGACCACCTTCACAATGGTCATATGATCCTGAGGATCTGTCAAAATGCTCATCTGTTCCTGAGCATCACCTACCATAGTCCATTTTTTAATGAGGAAAATGGTTGTCATTTCAAAGAATCTTAGAAAAATGCTTAGAATTGAGATTGGTGATGACCATTTTAATCTGAATCACTAAGAAAACAGGGCATTTATAAAGGTAAGAGACCACCTGTTTTATTTTCTTAGGAAGACTGAGGAAATGTCATGTAAAATGTTAAATAATGTAAAAAGAAAATTAGCACTGCTATAATTATTTTGAAAGTGATCTGACATTTTTTGTTTCTATTTTTTCTGCTGAGAGAATGCAAGGCAGTAAGAATAGGAAATAAAGAAGTATGGAGTATCAGTCCAAAGATAGTTTTTAAATTGTAGTGCTTCACAAAATGTCACCTCTCCACTAAAGAGAATCTGAGCAAAGAAGCTGATGATGGGTTTTACTGGTCCAGGCTCCAGCTCCCCTGGGCACTTCTCAGGTGCAAGCTAGGCATCAGTATTGCTCTGTTAAACCTCAGGTTCCTTCTGTTTTAAATGGAGGGCAGATGTATAATCATGGAACCCATTCTAACCCCTTCAATAAGTTCTTAAAAGAAAAGTGTAAGTCAACTGTCTCCTTATTTTTTAAAGAACTCATCAAACCGAAATCCTCTTTTGAAATGAAATAAATGAACACACTTTCCCATTGATTGGGAACACCCAGGGCCAAACACCTTACCAGAAATAATTCTTTTCAACTCCTTAAATTCTGGTACATTTTGCCACTTTGATGCCATGATTTGTGTAACTCATATGCTTGTACATCCCGTAGAGGTTACTCACATGACTTTCAGTGACCAGTGGAAAATTAGAATACAAATCTGAGTGTTTGTTTGTTTTGTGATGCTAGAGGTAGAGTCCAAGGAAACTACCCCTCAGGTACATCCTAGCCCTCTAGTCCCTTTTATTATTATTATTATTATTATTATTATTATTATTATTATTTATTTTGAGAGAAAGACAGGGTCTCATTAAATTTCATAGGCTGGCTTTGAACTTGGAATCCTCCTGCCACAGCCTCTTGGGCCACTGAGATAATAAGCATTCACCAACACTCCTGAGATTTTTTTTTTTTTTAAATAACCTCCTAGGTTAGCCAGTTTTCTGTCTCTGTGACAAAAATACATAAGATATTAAAGTAGCAAAGACTTATTTTGTCTCAGAATTTCAGAGGCTTCAGTATATGGTCACTTGGGTCATTGCTTTGCATCTGTGCTGAGGCAATATAACATGGAGGGCACCCTGTGGTGGATTAAAGCTGCTCACCTCCTGGTGAGAGGGAAGCAAAGAGAAGAAAGGATCAGTCCCCATAGTGCCTTTGATGGCATGTCCCCCACCAGTGATTTAACTTCACTCAACAAGATCCCATCTTCTAAAAGTCCTATCTCTTTCTACTACTGGACCCATCAACTGGGATAATACGTGGGCCTTGGGAGGATATTGAAGATCAGAACCATAACACTTTCTTTAAATCACACTTGAATACTCTGTGTATGTGTGCGTGTGTCGGTAAAGTAGTATATGCACTCTAGAACTTTCAGAATTAAAAGATGAATGGGCACTTTAGTCTCAGCATAAATTGAATGAATTCCAGAAGAAACAGGAAGAAAACTCCAAACTGAGAGTTCTCAGCCTGACATCTGGGCACCACCAACTGATGATAAAGATAGAAAGTTAGAAGGTGAAAGCCCATCACCTGGGTTGGAACAGAATCTCTGAAAAAATGGGAACCATGGATAGCAAAGAGCCATACACGGATGCCATGACAAAGGCTTTTTAGTTGAAACAAATGCCCTATTGGAGCCCATTTCAGTTCAACCTATTTCTAGGAGAAAACTACAGTGCTTGTTATATTTCCTCAAACACCTAATAACTGTTCAGTATTTCTGTAGTCCCATGAATGGTACTAGTTGGACCGAAGGCATTAAAAATATCAGTTAAGCCATCCATACTATTGGTCAGTGATTTTCAATACTTGCTAGACAGTTGTGTCTTCCTTTCTCTATCATGAGATTCTAGTGACATAACTTGGATCAGCCTTAAGGAATATTATTTGATGTCTATTTAACATTGAGCTCATTTGAATTAAGTTATCCTGAGCTATGGCCAACACCATCCTGTCTTGTAGATTTTATCTCAATTGATATTTTCTAAAGAAACCTTTCCAAAGAAGGCCAGGTGGCCCTTTTCAAGGTTTCCAATTGTTCTTTGTAGCTTTTGTCCCAAGTGTGTGTGTGTGTGTGTGTGTGTGTGTGTATGTGTGTCTGTATGAGCATGTGTGTGGTTTTCTAGGTCTTACATAACAAAATATAAACCAAGTAACTTAAATAGGAATTTATTTTCTCACAGTTCTATAGGCTATAAGTCCAAGGTCAAGGTGTTTGTAGGGTTGATTTTTTTTTTTTTTCCTGAGGACTCTGTCTTGGCTTGTAGATGGTTATCTTCTCCCTGTGTTTCCACATTGTCTTCTTTTTTGCATGGGTGTGTCCTAATATCCTCTTCTATATATACCATTTT